GTACTAAAATAAATTGCACTTAAAGACCTAAGAGTGATTCTTAATGCAATATTTCACAAATGCATGGGGTGTCCGAAAACTTTTTTCCACCACTGTAGCATCACAGCGTTCATAAGGTAGCTTCACCAACTTGTTCTGCATGCATTAGAAGTGGAATGAAGTTGATGCAGTCAAGTTTGTGTCATCAGTACATGTTAAAGTAAAAACTGGTCACTTCTTGTTACCACCGGGGGGCGCTATGAGTAAGGTGGGACATTAACATATTGGGGTGTTCGGGGCGGAGCCATCATCATGTCCAGCAAGTTTGAAGCTGCTGAGATCAAGTATGTGGGCGTGAGGTCTGTTCAAAATTCGATGGCGAGAAAACGAAAAGTCACCAGACTTTGTCATGCCCTAGCGGCCACGCCTCTTGACATAGACAAAAGCTTTTAATAACTTTTGATCAGCATGTTCTCAGGATGATCTGTACCAAATTTGTTCAAACATGTAAAAAATTAAAATCAAAATGGCTGACTTTCTGATGGGTTTACGGTATGGGTCCAGGAGGATTTTTTGTGCATCTTGGCATGTTCTATGAGCCCACCAATTTTCACGCATGTAGGTGAAACTCACTGGCGGGGCTCGAGGTACGAATTTTTCTAAGGGGCGCTATGTCGCCATTTGGCCCCGTCCACATACAACACTGCCAAAATATCAAATTTTTCGCCAGACCAAACGCGTGTGCCAAATTTGATGAGTTTTTGAATTTGGGAAAGGGGCGATATTGGGGATTATATTCTCGGAAGAATAATAATAATAATTAAACCTGCAAGCAGCAATGAACAGGCTCTCGCACTTTCACGGAAATCGGGGGGCTGGCAGGACTCCTTCTGATGCATCAGTTCATTTCTGTCAAAGTTAGACATCGCATGCAGGACTGACTTGGCATATCCTTGATACAGTACTGGAATGACATATTTCACATTTTGTATCACTTCCTCTTTAGAGGGAATTGGAGGGCGCACTAATTATACATCATGTTTTTGTACATCAAATATACACCACAGCATTTAACTTTCAGATAAATCGAAAATTAAGTGTTTGATGAGACCTACTTCCTGTCACCACTAGGTAGCACTATGAGTATCAGGAAATATGGTCATATAAATGTTTTCAGGGCAGGACTAATATGAATCATCTGAAGTTTGATGGAGATCAAAACATTTACGGCAACAATATAGCAATTTCCTGTTTCATGGCGAGACCTCACAATTAAACCCTCTGCAACACGTATAGACACCAATGATATGTCATATTTGTGTACATTAAATACACACCACAGCACTGAAATTTCAGGTGAATCCAAAGATAAGTATCTGGTAAGAAGTACTTCCTTTCACCACTAGGTGGCGCTATGACTATCACGGAATATTGTCATATAAATGTGTTCAGGGTGGGACAAATATGAATCATGTCAAGTTTGGTGGCCAACGGACCATTTACTCCAAATTTATAGCAATTTCCTGTTTCATGGTGAGACATCAAAAGTAAACCCTCTGCAGCACGCGTAGACACTAATGATCCGTCATGTTTGTGTACATCAAATATAGACCACAGCACTGAAATTTCAGGTGAATCCAAAGATAAGTGTCTGGTAAGAAGTACTTCCTTTCACCACTAGGTGGCGCTATGATTATCAGGCAATATGGTAATGAGAATGTGTTCAGGGCGGGACTAATATCAATCGTGAAGTTTGGTGGAGATTGGACCATTTATGCCAGAGCTACAGCAATTTCGTTTTTCATGGCGAGACCTCAAGATTCAACGCTCGGCAGCGGGCGTGCCATTCAACATTGGGCAAATCCTGTGATAACTTTTGGTCACAATGTAGTCATGCTTACATACACCAAGTTTGGAGCCAATCTGATTAAATCTGTAGGACAAGTTTGTTAATTCACAAGCCCTGGAAATGGGCAAAAACGCACAAAAGTGGCACAAGTCAATTCAAAATGGCGGACTTCCTGTTGGGTTTGGAGCATGGCTCCAAGAGACTTTTTTGTACGTAATAGAGTGTTACAGGTGCCTACCAAGTTTCATACATGCAGGTCAAAGCAGCTTTGGGGGCTGCTTAATTGAAATATGCTAGGGGGCGCTGTTGAGCCATCTTGGTGCATCAAAGCACAAAAATCACATCAGACAACAGCACTTGTGACCTGTGTCATTATTAGGGCCCGAGCACCTAGCGGTGCTCGGGCCCTAATAATAAAAAATCCTTGCATTTCAATCGGGTCCTCGCACCGCTAGGACCACAGTGCGATTACAATAGGGTCCTATGCGGATGACTTCGTCGTCACTTGGGCCCTAATTAAAGCTGCAAGCAGCTGTGACCAGGCCCTCGCTCTCCCGCGCCACCGCGGGGGGCCAGCAGCACGCATCACTGAAGCGGTTATGTGCAAACTCAGAGTAAGTTAACCCTGACGTGATGTGAAGTTTCATCTTCGTACTCCAAGAAAACCCATATGGGGAGGGTTTTTTGAAAATTTCAAGGGGGACTATAGAGGCATTTTGTCCCCCCCATGGGCGACGGCCCTATCAGATGTAAGAGCTCGCCATTCTTGACCTGTGTATCAATTTCGTGAGGATATGAGGTCGCTGAGGGCGGCGTCATAGCCGCCACACCCCTTGACATAGAGAAAAGCTTTTAATAACTTTTGATCAGCATGGTCTCAGGGGCTGAGTCTGTCGAGCAACCAGGGGCTGCGGGGAGATCCAGAGCAGGCATGGATTGGTGGTGTAAATGTGGGGCTTACTGGCTACTTTATTAGGTACACCTGTGCAATCTAATACAATCCAATACAACAGCTCTGCCACACATTGTACGTTTACAAAGCTTTTACTTTTTCAGCTTTTGTCAGAAAGGTAATTATTCTACTTTATTATTGAGGTCGTAGTGGGTGGTGTTGGTGTACTGGAGTGCAATATATTTAAAAGTGTTCCTAATATTTTGTCCCCCTCAATTAGACAAAATTAGGAGGCCACCCCAGTACACCACCACCATTCACTATGACCTCAATCATAAACAAAGTAGAATCACCACTTTGTAGACAATGTCAACAATGACTGAAAATTTATAAGCTTCGGGGAAAAAAATCATGGTATAGTCGTTCTACTGGATTTCATTAAATTACACAGGTGTACACAAAGTGGCCAGTGACTGTATGTTACATACATAGAGTATTTCCTCAAATAGTAGCCGGGGCCACTATTAACAAAAAAATAATTTGGGACCAGGCTACAATAGGGCCTGGCTACTGTTTGAAGGAGGCTTTTAATAAAAGAAAAGAAAATCGCAGCCAAATTTGAAAATACAAATACTGTATTTTTTTTAATTGAAACAGCAGAAATATATATGTAAAGTTGTCTTTACAGAACCCCCCATGGTACGATACCAGTGAAAGTATCACGGTTCTGAGTAGTATCACGAAATCATGTTAAGAATGAGTCAGATGTGCCTTTTGTCATTTTTAAAAAGATAATTCACTTTTCTATAATACATTATTGATATTTCAATGGAATAAATTACTTATTGACTTATTCATACTTCAAAAACAGCATCAATTAGTGATTAACCCTATGGGCCCTCGGCGTTTCTGGGGTATTTTTACTGCCTTTACTTTTAAGCTCATATCACAGTCATTATAAAGGCTACATACACATGCTATATCTTGTTGTTTTCAGGACAATGTGGGCTATCCAGATTTGCCATCATTTCGTGTCCTTCTATGTGCCTGTATTTTATATAAATTTTTATATCCATGAAAAAAACAAATGCATGTTACTAAATTCTTTCATTTTTACATGTATCTCAGCATAGCAAGTTGGAAAATGACATATTCTGCCATATATGAAGAGGGGAGACTCTTTGGAATCTGGTAATATAAGATTCATGATGGTGGTTCATTCTGTCACTTCACAGTTGT